CTGAGGGGCACCAAGCCTGACTTTTCGAAGTAAAATGAAATTTGATGGATTATTTTTAGACATACATAGATCGACTTAAATTGTTATGCTGTCTTCAAACATAACATTTGTTTAAATACAATGGTTCGCTACTCAGCTGAAAATTAGTCAATTGTCTTATTCATGAATTAAGCTTGGTGTAATAGTAGCATTTTGTAGAATATCAAAAGTACTATCGAATAGTACCGAATACGATACGGATCGTTCCTTTCATAACAACATTGAAGAGAAATCGTGTTCGAAGTACGTTTATAATGTATATGGGTAAAATGGAACAGACCCCTCTTTTATTGGTTTGTGTTTAGTTGTAAGGTTTGAGTTTTTGCAGCGGATTCTTTTGTCACGAATTTATATAAAAATGTTGGTTCTTTCATCTGATGCTTAATTAATACTTAATTAATTAAAAAGTAAATAGCGAATAACTCTTTAACCTTACAATAAAAAATCCTAAAATTTCAAGATAGACTCTATACAACAAACTATATCTATGATAAAATTTTCACAGAGATCGAACTTCAAAAACAATTTTCCCTCCTAAAAATTAATGTTCTAGAGGTACCCTCATGTTTCGAAGCGAAACTTTTTACATTACTTTAATCTCAAGACTTCCGAGAATGATTTATTTCAGATAGAATTACTTTTTAGATTTCTCATTCATCGAGAAGAGCATTTTTTATTTCTCTATTCATACTCAGTCACGTCACTAACGACGAGCAAATGCGATTTTTTGCAAAAACCTCAGCAATTTTAGAAAAAACATTGCACGTAGAATTTTTAACCTGAGGAGTCCTCTAACAAACGCACGATTTAGCTTTCAAAAATATTGTTTGAATTTGCAGTATTTTCAAATGGAAATGCATTCAACGAGAAGCTATGTCATGTCGCCAGCGCTAGGTTTTTTGAGCTAACTTCTCTGACTATAGGTCTATAGAACTGATTTTCTTAGAATATCTAGAGTAACTTAACATACATATGACCTATAAATATGAGCGCTTGGAGCAGTCATTATTCAAAGGTATGCACATTTTAATTGTATGACGTCACATCATTAACAAATGATGTCGCCAATATATGTGTGAACAATATCATCTAAAGAAATAAAAGGAAAATAAAAACATCACGCCATATTTCTATCATTGAATAGCACAAAAAATGAGCCTTCATTCGTTTTATAATCCAAATACAAGGTGTTGAAAGTAAAAGAAATACTTTTCATATGAGCACTGTATAACACGAACCCTATACAGGATAGATATAATCTAGTTTTAAGTCAATCCGTGCATGAATAGAACGGTGACTAATTGATTAATTCAAACAGCAATTCACTATTAACATCCATATTGACTCTTAGAAAAATATGAAATTGAATTTCGAAATGAAGCCAATTTTATCGTTTTAACGATCTGTCTCTGTTCTTGCAGAATGACATGAAATTGCTGAAAATTTATATTTTCATCTCAGATTTTCTTTCACAAAATATATATTTCACACCGAGACTTTGTGTACTCCGGCTCATGTGATTAGGAAAGAGAAGCAGAGGGTTTTTGTCCTCTTAAGTTTTCTGTTGTGTTTAGCCTTTCTCCCTGAAAACTTTTGTTGGCTGCCGCTTAGTGGATTTTTCGTTTTTTTCTCTAGAATGAATATAAGAAAAATATGGATAAGAGAAGACTTTTCCCTTGTTTTCAAAAAGAATCATCGATTTTCTCCGAGAGAGATAGTTTTAATCAAATACTTCAAAGAAACTCAATATTTTTTTTTACAAACAAAATGCTTTTACTTTAATTTACAAGGAGAATTAGTCACTTTTTTCTGCTGCTTGAATAAAACCAAATGAAAGCTTATGGCGTACACTTGACAAACCAGTTATTTATTTGTAAAATAACGACAATAGTTCAATGCAAAAAGTTAGTACAGAATATAGACATAGAAGTTTTACAAATTAACGCAAAACGATTCTTTTTTATCGACATGTTTAGCAGCAGAAAAAGTCTAAAAATAAGGAATACCGGAATATATCCTTTTGGGATTTATTGAAGCCAGAATATTTATCTATGGATAATATATAATACATTTTAACTGCACCAAAAGAGAGTTGTAGTTCAAAAGAGTTAGTCTTCACTTTCAGTTCTTACATTATCTTCAATCTCGTTCTTGCCATCGTCCCCAACAAACTATTTTCGCTCGGTCTATCCCTTCCATCTGATGATATCATTTATATCGGGGTTTTACATTAAAATCTCAAAAGCTACTGCTATTTTTATGATATTCCTTTCGCAAAAAAATTTAAATTACTTTCTAGAGAAGATAAGCTTCATTGCAACTATTCGTTAATCATACTTAAGTTCTTATTTGATTGTGAAATTTTTCGTCTATGATTTGCTTTTGACGCCTAGAGAACTAATAAAGTTCAGCAAATTTGATCTCTGCCTAAATACACTAAATTGACACAATCCTTGAGGTTGAGCCTGTTCAAATAGACAATGTGTTCTATTTTATAATGTTTTTTTCCTAGAAGTCTTGCGAGGAGACATTTTCAATTGCCAAATTGGTGTCGAGTTCGGACTCTATGCGTAAGACAGGCCTCGATGAAATATGAAAAATCTCAACAGAGTAAATCTCCTTAGGTCTTCTGTCCAGAATTATAGGCATTTTACCGCAATTTTAGCCTACAGCATGGTATACGTCAACAAATTGAATGACAGTATTTCGAGCTGACGTCTTACCCGCAAACATATCTATTTGTGAGTTAAACGTCTTGAAAATTTCAGCTCAAAAGAATGTTCCTTTCTCGGAGATATGAATGTCCAAAAAAAAGAACATTCTAACATCTTTCATAGGATATGAACGACTTTTGGGACTTTGATATCTTGGGAAAGAAACATTCTATGGAGCTGAAATTTTAAGAACCTTTCACTCACAAATAGACCTGTTTTGTGGGCAAACTTTCAGCTCGAAATATGGTCATTCAATTTGTTGACATATACCGGACCATAAGCTAAAGTTGTAGCAAAATACCTGTACTTCTGCACACAAGATCTAAGGTGGTTTATTCTTTTGGAGTTTTTCATATCTCATCGGGTCTACCGTATGCACAGAGTTTGAAATCAAAATCAATTGGACAGTTGAAACGGATCCCTCGTCAGTAAGACTAAGAAAACCCTGAAAGGGTTCGCACCCAGGATCTATTGGTCAAGAGTTATGAGGTTTACTCAATTTTCTCCCTATCTGTAAATATTTGCTAAAAAATCAAATTACATGATTTCGGTCTGAAAGTTTCAACCAAAATTAATGTTCGTTTTTTGAGTTATCGAGTTTTCAAAAACTACCGTAGTCACTTGCCATCCATACACATGACTGAAAAATCGAGTTTGCTTAAAAATCCAATAATTCAAGAAAGGAACATTGATTTATGCTGGAACTTTTGGAATATTTTTGGGATTATGAAATGCAAATTTAGGCAAAATTTCAGACAGAAACCATGTAATTTGATTTTGTTTGGCATATTCATACCTATGGATGGGCTGAAAGTTCAATGAAACGGTCATAACTCTTGGCCAACAAATCATGGACTCGAATTTTTTTGGGTCTTCCTTAGTCTTACTGAGCCTTAGTCTTAGTTAAAAGATGGGATCAAATGGTATCCGACAGTTGAATATGTTCCCTCGTTTATCTCTTTCTGCTATCGATTCTATACCGAGCTGTTGTTGTATAATTTTCTGATCTAACCATAGGCTTTATATCTGCTTTTTCATAATTTTAAAATTATCGATTTTCAGATTTTAACTAATTGTGATATTAAAGACTTATTTCTTTTATAAAAGAATCTTGCCTTCAAAGGATTATTATGGTTTGAGTAAATAAAATGACATGTCAAAAAACTATTAAAGTTTGTTCTATCAGTGTACCGATTGATTTATGTAGATATTAAGTTCAAAGAAATATTTAGAAAATTCTATTATCAACAACGATAGTACATCAAATTATGTACAGAAATCTGAAAATAGGTATAATTGCAGTAAATTAAATTTATTACTGATTTTCAATAAAATACCTAAACTATATCGTGATAATTTATAGATACTTGATTCATGCTTGGTGGATAAAGATAAAATGTTACACATAGTACGTAGAGAAGTCAGCGGAGTTTTGCAATCTCAATACATGAACAAAAGTGTTTTTTCAATTTCAACCTGTTTTATGTTCTCGTTATCTAATATGGAAACCATTTTGAATGGACTTTTAATTATATACTGAACAAGTTATTAAAGTATGTTGATAAACTACTCAATCGACAATAAACTTAACTATAGTATTTCACCTTGCGAAACAAAGATGAAGTGACATGTCTAACTTTGATATTGAATATCTCGAGAAAGATATGTTCGTTTTCATTGAAGTTTTCAGAATTATCTAATAACTACTAAATATGCCTGCAGGCAAAAATTTTAATTTAAAAAGTTTCGCTTTAAATTTTTCGAAAATTCACTGCTTTCAGTAAAAATCTCATTTATACGACCATAAATCTGTACTAATAGGCTATGAATTCGAATCAGAAATAAAATTGCTCTGGATTTTTCATGACTAAAATCGATCTGAGTAGAAGTTAGACCGAACCGGCTCGTTGATGGTGGACCAGTAGATCTGAAATCCGTACCGATACTGGACTGACGAGTTATCATACTATTCCATTTATGGATAGTGATATCGGACACAGTCAATCTTCAACAAAGTTCCATGTCATATTCTTTATAAGAAAATATGAGCAAAATAATAAATAAGACACACTGATATTGATTAATCTATCAGCAGAGTTGCCAACACCAGTACTGATTGTATCTCTTGCCTGAGCACTTGTAAATCTAGCTAAGTCTTATTAAGACCTAATCATAGCTATAATATGAATTTGAGCAGCGTTTTGCAATTAAATATATTGTTTCATTGTAGGTTTTATTTTAAATAAAATGACACAACGAGCTATTGATCTCTTTTTGACTATTGAAAAACCAGACAAAATCATATTCAGTATTTTATTCAATGCTTGTGCTCAGTTAAGAACCAAAGATGCATTGGATTTAGGCAAAAAAGTTTTTAATCAATTGCCTATTGAATGTCGTCAATCAAATGATCTTCTTTATTCGGTTTTGAATATGTTCATTAAATGTGATGATCTCAAAAGTGCTGAATCTCTGTTTAATCGAATAGATAGAGATTTGATTTCTTATGGATCAATGATGAAATTTTACAATATGAAGGAACAACCGGAACAAACTTTGACACTCTTCGAACAAATGAAACAAAATAAAATCAAACCGAATAAAATTATTTTTGTGTTACTCATCGATGCATGTTCAGTAATTGGTGATCTTTCATTATGTCAATCACTTATTTCACAGATACCACCAAGTTTTCTTACTGATCCTTGGATTCAAGTTGGATTAGTCGACATGTGGGTAAGATTAATATTAACATTAATCAATAATTGATTAGACATTGTTTTTCAATAGGGTAAAGTAGGTTCACCAGATAAGGCTAAAAAGGTCTTCGACATGATTGAACAGCCAAGTATTGTTTCTTTTTCATCTATGAGTAAGTTTTGTTATCTTATTGTTAAAGAGTCTTCCGGATTTGGTGACTTATTTTGATCAAGGATACGATAGAACACGATTCACTTATTTTTACTAGTTTTCTCCAGTTTACTGTATTTCTACAAAGCTTCAGAATTTTTTTTTTCGTTTTGTTTTATGGTTGAATAGAACATTGGTTACTCTATTGAAGTGTACAATTTTAATTCGATTGATTTCGCATCTTGGATAAAAAATTAAACAAATTTCGAAAATTAGTCAAAAACAAAATTTGCTTCCAAGAAGTAGTGAAATTTTTCTCGAACAACTATAACCTAGTGAATAAATAAACATTTTTAGTTTTTATATAACTAGAAAGATTATTCATTTCTTTACCGAGTTGTATATTTTTCATTAGAATTATTCGTTATCTTAAGCTCCTTCCTCCCCGAGTCACAATAGATTTTTCATTTAGTAGAATGATCCGTTTTGGCTGAAAGGATACCACCGGATTGGATAAGTTCGTAAATTTATCGCCCCCTCTCCCGCTAGGCAACTATTTCAATAGGCTATAATGATAGAGCGGGGAATTCTGCACACTTTTCTGTTTATTCATCTTTTTTGTTGAATGCAAAAAGTATTTTCGAGAACTCGATAGTCTTTGATGGTTTATCATTTCTAGATGTTTTCAATTATAACTATGAAAACTACTAGTATAAATCGGCGTAGCTTTTTATGCTCTTGAAAATAACATATAAACTATGTTTATTGATTAGTTTGTGTAGGGTCAGATACGCACAGTAGGTACAATTCTTATATGATAGACGAATTTTGATATTTTTGTATGATATTTTTGTATTTAAAAACTAAATTGCAACTAGATATCTTAATGATAAAAACTGCGCTGACTCACGCTCTATCAATCTATATTGCTTTCAGAAAAATCTATTCCGTTTAGAGGAACATTCTCATCGAAGCATTGCACGAAGATAGCTATTTTGGGAGTGTTATAAAAGTTAATGTTGACATTTTTCAATGGAATCTGGATCTCTAATTGTAATTTTAGAGCAAAATGAATATCATTTTCGGAATCAGTATTAAAAATTACGCAGCATCATATACATTTCAACAAAAATAAATTTCCATGAAAAAATCGATGTGGTCCCCTCAGCAGTTTTTTTTGTCCGATTTTCGCCCGTGATCCCCTCTACGGTCGGATTTGCCATAAAAAATTAGTTTTGCTGACATGTCTATGGTATTACCTAATTTTTTATGCTGATTCCAAATATGATATTCATTTTGTGCTAAAATTGAAATTGGAGATCAAGATTCAATGGAAAAATGTCGAGATCAACTTTTATAATACTCCCAAAATAGTTACTTTCTTGTAATGTTTCAATGAGAATGTTTTTTAAAACAGAATAGATTTCTCTGAAAGCTATAAAGATTGATAGAGTGTGAGTCAGCGCAGTTTTTTATTATTAAGATATCTAGTTGCAATTTAGTTTTCAAATAAAATAACAAGTTGGTGAAATTTAAGCACGGAAACTTCAGTACACGAAATGATCAGCACGAAGAACAATCACACGCTAAAAGAATTCACTGTGAAACTCAAAAAAGTTCTACAGATGTGCGAAATCTTAAAAAGGATTCTTTCGTGACTATAGAGAATAGAATCGTCACTATCGAGATCACAACGATTTTGGATTCATGTGTGAAATTTTGTTAGGATCAACTATGTATGTACCGAATCTAAACGTTCGAGCTCGCCCTTGAGCGCCGTCATTCTCACTTAATTAATAAAAGGTAGTGAAAGTAGACCAAAAGAAAAGATTTTCGAGTCGTTTGTAGTAGTTCTACGTTCAATGACATGAGTGATTCAAAAGCAGAAGAGCTACAAGCATCCGAAAAGAATGTCAACAATGTTTGAAAATACTCGAACACAAACTTGATCGAACCTTGAAATACTGTCATGATCGCTTACATGTTGAAGAAGCGCTTGAATGATCAGCTAAACACTCGACGCTGTCTGAAATGGTTAAATAGTTCACGTACCCGAATCGTAGGACGAAATTCGAATGTAAATTGTTTCGTCTTGACCACCAAAGTAGACGTCGATTCGTTGCATACCCTGAATAAACAGAGCGTGCAAAAAATTTACACCTGAGATTGAACCTTTAGGTTCTATACTATAGTTGATACGAAACCTCTTAATATTTTCTCTTTAACGTACTAGAAAAACCTTGAAAAGCTTTTGTACCAAATCTATAACGTTTGGGTTTGTGTGCGAACGTTTTCCAGTTTCGGTTGACCCTAACAAGATTTCGCACATGATTTAAAAAATCTTTGTGATCTCGATAATGATGATTCTATACCCTGTAGACTCGCAAAAGTCCTTTTTCAGATCTCATACAGCAGTAGAACTTTTTTGAGCTTCATAGTAAATTTTCTTAGAGCGCGATTGTACTTTGCGCTTAAATTTTCGAAACTTCAGATTTGTAACCTCTTTAAGTGTAATTTTTGAAAGCAAGTAACAGCTAATGTATACTAGCACCATGGATCATGCGCAAATTATAAAAACATTTATTTAATGCTGATGTATGTACAGAGATAGTCTTCCGAAAAATTAAACAATACACGAAAATCTTTTGCAAAACACACTAACTTAGTAAGATGAACATCTCGTCTGAAAGTCTGTTAAAATTTGATCTTTTACTTTTGTTTTTTGAAAAGTTACATATATTCTGAGAGAGGAAACTTCGCTGCATTTTACTATTATAACAATTCAACTTCAATTATTGTTCGAAAAAATGGATTTTCTGAGGGGTGCCTTTAGTGAAAATTTAATGGAATTCTAAAATTTATTTTTGTAGAGTTTTCAGTATTTTTTTCTCTAGTAAATTATAGTCAAGTAAACATTCAAGTCTTGTTCATTAATGCATGGTTAGGTCGTGTATTTATTTGTCTATCTATTAATAACTTTAGATTGATTTAGCTAGTCTTATAGATCAATGTTGGATTATAAGAATAAGATTAAAAGCCTATTTTTTCACTAGCACAAAAGTGCCTAAGAATCTCAATGCTATAATCAAATTTTCTCCTTAAATTTGAAACGATTTCATTCAATAGTTTCTACAACGTTAAGTTTGATGGATCACTTCTACCTAAAAACAATTTTTCAAAAAATTGATTTAGTCTCATTCAGATATAAGTACGCACAAGTTTTTTTTTACAGACTTTGTAGAAATACAGTAAACTGAAAAAAAACTAGTAAAAATAAGTGAATCATACTGTAGATGATGTTTTATTAGAGCATGATACGACATATCGAATAGTATATAAAATAATCAAGTGACATGAAAATTTTGATACGATTAGAATTTATATACTGATGATAATCCTTGAAAAATGCATATGCTACTCATAGATAGTGTCATCTATAAGATAAACTCATATAAATTTTATTTTTAAGTTCAATTTAATAGAGTTATAGATATTCTTCAATTTTCTATAATCACTAACTATCATCATTGCTTTGTTCATACTTAACCCTTTAAAACCGAGAGTGTATTTTTTTTTACAAAGGGAAGAATCTAATTTAAAAAATAGAGATTATAGGCCTTCAGTATGCTCTCATACTATGGCTAAAAATAATTATCTTGTTCTTCTAGAGTTATTCAATATTCCTTGAAAGATATATTCAACCTTATAGAAGAATCAAAAGAAAAGAAATTCAATGTGAAATTTTGCTCATAACTAGGCTTTGTTATCTTTAAAAAGTGCTTAACATTTTCAGCCAAACCGGATAGTTACTTGTCGAAGTATTGCAGAAGAGAAAAAAAAACGGGAAATCTTAGGGCATTCTAACTATTATGAAGTCTATTCATGGATGAATTTTCAGATCGAAATTCCTTTCTTTTGATTCTTCTATATCCTATTCAATGAACATTTTTCAGATGTCATATCGTGACAAGAAATGAAGTCGAAATTTCTAGACTGATTTCATAAGATAGCTAGATGTTATGCTCATCAATATCAATCAGCAAAATCACAATTACACGCTGTGCCTATGAAAAACGAAGTTGTTAGAAGAAAAATGTACATTTACAACATTTTTTTCTAATTTGAAATAGCTAATTATCTAATTTACAAGTCAGTTAAGAGGGTCTTTCTCAAGACTATAGCCTATCATACCAAATTAATCTGAAAAACTATTCGTTGTTTAATGTGGAGTTATCTTAAAATTTGTATATCAGTTATCATAATGTCCTTTGGGAAGAACATTCGGATTTAAAGATGTTCTCTTTTCTTAGGTCTAGGTTATTTCGTGACTATATGATATTCCAGTGTGTTCAACTCCATATCATAGAATAAATGAATATCGATGTGAAACATTCTCAAAAAATGCACATTATTAAACTCTATATTTTTCACACATTACATCTTTCAGAATAGCGGCGACTCATTACTAACTTGCAAGATTATATCCTAAAATAGGCTGTTTTATTAGATGAACGAACCTCTATACGGACAATATATTAATAATAATCAATGATTCTATTAAAAAAATTATATAGCAATAATCAGCACAGCATCCTTGATGAACTGATATGAATCCTTCATAAGAAGAAAAAACGTTTTGATCTTCAGACTCTTAGAGAAAGAGTACGGATATAACAGTGATATAGAGAAATTTATTTTTAAAATAAACATGAAATAGTTATAGATTCTTCTAGAATTTCGGTCATAAATCAAACATGGATATTCGTTATATAAATTTGATGAAGACATTATAAAAATAGCCGAGCTTTTTCGTGCAACACTATGATTGTACTTTCTTTCAGAAGTCTGAAGCCAGAATTTTTTTTCCCATTTATAACAAGAAAAGATATATGGTGCGTTCGAAAAGCTGACGAACTGATTTCATTTAAAAAGATCAAGAAGCGCTGTTGCATTGAAAGTATGAATAAAGCAAGAACAATAACTAGATAATAATTATAGAAAATTGAAGAACATCTATAACTCTATCGAATTGAACTTAAAAATAGAATCAACATAAGTTTATCTTACAAATCACAATGTCTATCACAAGAATCTAGAATCTAATCACGTGCACCAAACAACCGTTTGGAGAAAAATTAGGAGACTTATTAGTATCTATGAAAATCCTTTAAAAAATAATGGATACCATGGAGATGATTATGTCACACTTTTATTATCTGTATTTCAGGAGTTTAATAATTCATCTAATTTTAGTTTTGATCTTCTTGGTTAGAGAATTTAATTCTCTACAAAATTGACGAGCATGTTTTTTTCGAAGAGATTTTTCATGCAGCCATATACTTTATGATATTCTAAATCTATTAAATTGTCTAGCTGTGAATTCCTGTTTTCTATTGATAAAAGACGATTTGTGTGAGCGTGTGTTCATCAGCGCCTGCCCTTAAAGCTAAGTACTGTTTATCAACAGATAGGCAATTTTTCGCTCTGCATGCTCACGACTTTAATTATTCTGAATGTTTTGTTCAGTGGAAAAAAACAAGGTTGCAAACTAACATCTAAAAGTATTTTTGGTACATTATATCATTCCAAGCCACATGTGTTCTACAAAATTCTGATTCTCGTACCATCAGGAAAATGATTTTGTTGTTTCTCGAAAAGGTTTTTTATTCGTACCTCCTTCCAGATGGTTTTTCAAGAGAGAGGGGAGGGGGCAAAGTCACCGCTGGGTCCCCCCCCCCCCGCTTCCCATTGGTTACGCCTCTGCATCAGATACACAATTAAATTTTGAATCAAATAACCCACGCGTTTACTTAAATAGTTAAAGTACTTAAGAGTTACTTTGAGTCAATCGTAAACAATACTCAGATTTATACGAAAACAACATTTTTTTCGGTATTTTGACTTTTTCTATTTCGAATTCTTTTCCCAAATATTTTCTTTAACATTTTGAAAGTCACACCGTAGGGAGATGTAGAATTTTGTGTAGAATATTGAAGCATATTTCAAAATTCATTACATAGATTTCTAAAAATTTTCTATAATTTTTTCGCTGTTTTTCAATTCTCCAGTTTTTACAATCGAGTATTTGTTAATCTTGCTAAATTTTCTTTGACGCAAAAAATCTATTTGAGAAACAAATTCGACAGTTTTACAGAAATTTGAATCCTCTATTCACTGACATAAAAATCAAAATATAAAATAATTCTTAAATACTGCAAAGATAGAAAATAAAATTGAATCATTTATTGTGAAGAAACCGTTATTTCTTCTTCTTGAGAAAAAAATATTACAATTTTGAAAAACAGTCCTTAATTCGAATTTTATTTTGACAGAATTTTTGTTGTTTGAGGAGAAAATTTTTCATTTTAGCGACAGATACTGCAACTCTGATCGATGAGTAATAGATACATTTTTTTCAAGGATTATAATCAGTATATGAATTTTGAACACATCAAAATTTTCATACGACTTTATTTCTTATATACTATTCAACGTGTCATAACATTCTCTACAAATTCATATGCATCATATCCTTGGTTTAGATAGATCATAAAATCCGACAATAAATGTCCTTACTTTTATTTTTTATTTTAATTGATATTCTATTTCAGTTAATGCATATGGCCTCAATGGTATGGGTTTTGAAGCTGTTCAACTTTTTCAAAAAGTTCCAACAAATATTCTGGATGCTTGTATTTATGTATGTGTATTAAATGCTTGTTCTCATGCGGGACTTATCAATGAAGCTCGTCAAATCTTTGAGATGATTCCATTTAATCAAAGAGTAGAACAAATTTACACTACAATGGTGAAAAGTTTACATTTATTTTTAAATTTATATCCTAGTTTTATTTGTTTTTGGTTCAGGTTGATACATTTAATCGTTCATATCTTTTTGATGAAGCACAAAAATTTATTGATGAATTTGAAAAGTCTCATCGTCCTTCTATTCCAATGTATAGTACGTCATTTTTTCATTTTGGTTCTTATTCTTCTTTTCATTGACATTCAAACGTACCTTGATCTAGTGTCAATGCTTTCGTCTGCTCGAAATGAAAAGAATGGTTCATTAGTACAGACGATTTTTGATCGTATTGAATCAAAATTTTCCGACGTAGAAAGTTGTCTGACATCAGCTACAGTTCTTCTTGCTAATACACACGCATTAAGTGGTAACAAGTCGCTAGCATCAAACATTCGCATGAAATTAGATCAATCTGGTATGAAAAAAGTTGTTGGTATTTCTTGGACGGTCGTCGATGGAAAAGTTTTTGTGAGTTAAATCAATGTAAAAAGAATTATGTTATCAGTTTTGTTCTGTTTTATGATCAGAAATTTCGAGCTCATGATCGATCTCATCCATTCTCAACAGAAATTTATGCAGAATTAGATCGATTACGAATTGAGTTAATGAAATATGATTATAAACCTGATGATTCTTGGATAACAAGACCATTAAAAAATGATGAAACAGCTGAATCAGTATTGTGTGGACATAGCGAACGACTTGCTATTGCTTTTAATTTGATTCAACGGCCAACTCCAACTCGTATTCAGATTGTAAAAAATTTACGTGTTTGTGGCGATTGTCGTTAGTTTAAAAGTTTTGTCTTTTTATTTTTACTGTTTAATTTGTGTTTTCTTGTTGTCGTTATAGATGCAGCAACGAAGCTGATTGCTCAAATTCGTCAATGCTTAATAATCGTTCGCGATGCCAATCGTATCCATCATTTCTTTCCGAATGGAAAATGTTCTTGTCACGATCATTTTTAAAGAAAATATTTTTGGACGTTCAAAAGCATTTTCTTTCTTTTTTTCTAAGGTGACGGCAAATCGAAATTGGAGCAACAATTTTTTTTGCCAATATTTTTGCATGGTTAGATAGAGCTAACTCTTTACCAGGGCTGCCACATCGAAACTTCAAAAAACAGGAGTTTTTCGCAAAAAATCAGGAATTAATCAGGACACTTTTATCAAAATCATGAAATGATATAGCGGTTGTGTTTGGAAGAAAACTGAAATTTTTGCTAAAATAAGTACTCATTATTATCTGCTTTCAAGTTAGTGATGACAAAATTTTCCTTCAAATGATATATATCACTACAAAGATAATCACATATATTGTTTCTTACTAATCATTTCACAATCCACAAATATACAAACAAAAATAGAAAATAAAGTTTAGTTAAAAACTGATATGGATCAACATGAATGAACATATTTGAAAAATAAATTATCACCAAAGTCCTTCGTGGCACTTTTGCAATACGACTATATTTTTCTGATGAGCGAATTTTTTTCAAAAGATCTGGACTATTCGAAAGATAACAAGTAGCGCGACGTAAACGTCGCTAAGCCCTCTACTGAAAGGATTATACTGTGATGAAGAACAACCAAAATGATGAATGTCGAAGTTTTGACTTCTATCGACCTTTTTATGGAACTCATGTATATTTTCGAAGAAAATAGGGAGTGTAAGTTTTAAGGCGAGATTTTCTGCTTCTCCAGCCTCCCCTCCCCCATCATAGACATTAGAACCAAGGAAACGAATTTAAACAATAATTTTCCGTATTTTATCTTAGTTTATTGAGATTAAAGGATATACGTGAGTTTCACATTTTGATGTCAAAGAAGTTATGCTAACAAGCTTTTTAATTTAAATCTATATTTAATCTCACCACTAATTCCAACGATTTCGATTGAGCTGATCCGATCATGACTCACTACAGTAGAAATCTCTGATATATTATATATGCAGATTCATTTTCTCTCTATATACTTTTTTCTTTAATTTTGATTGGCATATTTTATTCTTATTATTTATCTCTATATTCTTTCATACGTTTGTAAAGTTTATTCGTTAATTTTTTTTTATATATTTCATTTACACACTTACATTTTTGATCCCGAAAATTAAGCATAGTAGATCCCGGTTATTAATTTTCGCAAAAAAAATGCACAAATGATACTGCTTTATCTAATAATTTTTAATTTGTGATAGAATAACACAAGTGATTCCGAAAAAGATGTTTTCTGGAATAACATAATTGATGTCGGAATATTAGCAAGTTATGGTACCGTTTTTCAATCTGAGGGTCATTGAGTACCTATACGGTCTTATAGTAGTTAAGTGCACGCTTTTATCATAATGACTTTTCGGCTTTCTCTTTGGTTCATGGTAACGGGTGTGGGTGTGCGTGTGCGTGTTGGTGGGTAAGGGTGTGGGTGTCGGTGTAGATGTTGCTATGAGGTGTGAGTGTGGCTGAGAGTGACGTGGATATCCACATCCCAGAATCACAACTTACAATCCACACTCACAGTGGCACTCACACGCACACGCACATCCACACCAATACCCACACCCCACACCCACACCGACACCCAAGATTTCATTAAGTATTGATGATCAACCGTATTGTGTCCTCGTCAATAATACATTATTGATCAATTACACACTTCATAACCACCGTCAAGCCCAATTAACTATTACCTTACGTGTAATTGATACTATGGGCCTTCTATCAACAGATGGGTTTGTAAAAGCTTATGCTATAGCTGCAATAAGTAATGTAAGCGATACAATTGCCATGGATGCGATAAACATTCCAGATATGAATTCAAATTCGACTGTAATCACCAACTCAATTGTGTTTAGTATTGCTGCACTTGATTACAAATATGATCAAAATGCACCAGTATACATAAAGCGAGACGATATTCATCTTACCAATCAAACTGATTATCAAAAACCAACAGTTACACTACCACCACCATTAGATAACTTTGCCATGACTTTGGGATCATCAATAATACATTTCATTTTATACATGTTGACCTTCTTTGTAATGCTTCATTAACAATTTTAGATAAACTTTATGTTTTGACAATAAATATGACTTTGGAAGGGGATAAAAGGCTAATTCTTTTTTTGCTGGATAGAGTGTCGTTTTTACCGGGTGTGGGTGTATGGGTGTGAGTGTAGGTGTGGAGTGTTGGTGTGGGTGAGTGTGAGTGTGGGGTGCGGGTTGGTGTGGGGGCTGAGTCTCAGCGTGAGGTGTGGATGTAGGGTTTGGGTGTGGATAGGTGTGAATGCGGATCTAGGTCTATGTTTTCTTCATGCCATTCACATCCGCCCACATCCACACCCCACACCCACGCCCATACCCACACACACCCACAGCCTCTCCCTGGTCCCCCACAGGTCAGTTTTGGACAGAAAAAAATTTTTGCTAAAAAAGACACCTGAAGGTGCAGTTTTTGATACTGATTCCGAATATCATATCTATTTTACTTTAAAATTGTATCTTGATAATGAAAACCGCTAAAAATATACATGTTTTTATTGAAAAACCATAAAAATCGTCAAAAATTCGTAGGTGTAAGCCCTGTTTAGCACCAAGCGGAAACTTTGTTTTTAAACATTTTATTATCATTTTGTAGAGAAAGAAAAGCTGCACAACATATGTAAAATCCAGCGTGGAGGTCTCGTGATTCTGAAGCACAGCAAGAGATACAGCGTTGAAGTTGGACTGACTAAAAGGACCCCCTTGACTCTTCTTTGCTCTATACAACGTGAATTGCTAGGCATTATATTGCATGATTATAGTTTATTTTGTTCAGCTTTTAATTCTATCTTCTCATATATACGATGAAAAATTGTAGTGATTTCTTGAGACGCAAGCTGGCATATCTTTTATAGAGTAATTTTTCTCGTTTTTCTCCAAAAAGGTACGATAGTGCTAAAGTTGGTATTGACTAACTTTCGAAAGGAAGAGTATTAAAACCTAAAATTTTGAGGTTGGTGGTTTCAGACATTGATGCTTTGAAAGAGCAAAAAAAATCAAAAAAAAAAATTTTTGTCGAGTGCTTCATATATAGTTACGATGCTTAATGGGCTGTGGACCCTCTCATAAGACCCCTAGTCCAGACATAGCTTAAATCCGGTACATATCCACTCACTATGAACATCCACTCATACATACATTCCTACCCCACTTACACCCATATCCATACTCTCTTATTAAGATCTGGGTCAGAGTGGGTCAGTGCGGGTGAGAGCAGGTGAGAATGAGGTGAAAGTGGGTGAGAGCAGGTGAGAGTGAACCCATAAAAACGATATGTAATTCTTTTTTCTAATATTTATTGAAGAAAAGGGGTCGGAGTGTGGTCTCATGAGTGAGGACTTTTATGCTCTATACATCGATACTATCTTCGAATGAAACGGCGCTCAGAGTGGGTGAGAGCGTATTTTACTAATACCCCGGCCCGAATGTTTTTCGAAATTTCTTTTTCATAATAATACTAAAAAACAATGCGCAATTTTCCAAATTATCGTATTTTTTGTCATATTTCAGAGATTGATTCTTCATAAATATGTTTTAAAACAATTTGAGGTAAATCTAAATACAGAATTTTGTAGAGCAAGTCTTGTTCTATCTTTTGAGGTATAATTCAATTCGATATGATTAACTCTTAGAAAAAGAATCAGCCCTTACTGAGAATAAAAAAAAATCATAGTCATTATTTTTACAGCTTGATATAGATCCTTTCAAAGTCTCTTTCATATCTATTCAAGAATCATTCCTAGAAGGCTAAAAATCTGGATTTCTAATTATCTTTACATGCTCTTTCATTTACAATGATCAACAAACATATGTTATAATTTTTTGTTTAACGACAAACTACGAAAATGTTCAATTCAGTGATGGACCCTCTTCAAGATAAATTAAACTGATGATAAAGAATCATTTTGTATAAGAAATTCTTTATTAAAACATTCTGTTGGAAGGCGACGATATTTTCAGTTTCTCTACAAAAATTGAAAATCCTCCTAAACTTTAACTTCTCCTTCGAAACAAATAATAAATAGAGAATAATATATTTCATTGAAAGTATTTAAATGATCGTCAGTAACCACTGGTTAAATATAGAATTGTTTGACATTGAAATTCTTGAATATATATTTTGTTTTTGTTTTTCTTAAAAATTTCTAATGACAAAAAAAACCTTTTAAAGAAAGTTTTAATGAGTGATAAAGATAATTAATATGGTGATAGTAATAATTCGTCACAAATATATACGAGTCCAAAAAAATGTTCAATCATTGATGACATCTTTGATCCTTATCAATACGAACACAATTAATGAATAACACTATTAATTCTCAAGAAAATCCATTGTTTAATCACTAATTTATTTCAAATAATCTTGAAAATAATTTAAATAGTCGAATAAAGTTTGTTCATTCATTTATTAAATAGATAATAAAATGTGAATTTGTATAAAATAAAAGTTGTATACATCATGAATCACTTAAAGATAATAGTGATGAAGATATAAATCGATGAAATGTTTATCAGAAATATGGCTATCCAATAAATAATGAATACATTTTATGTGAGACTTTTAAACGATATATTGAAATACAGATAATAGAAATAATAAAACATATCAACATCTATATATTATTCTAATTGTTATTATTATTATTAATTGATTTTTCGCTTTAACAGCATTAGCAATTAATATTTGTTTATTTGTTAGAATATCAAACATATAATCATATATTAGATAGACATATATCAAGTTTTACTTTT